CTAATTTTGAGACCCCAGGAAAACCAAAGCACAGGCTGAATTCTTTCCAGGCAGTGCTGGTGAGGTCCAGGGGGAGGAGGAGGAGGAAGGGTCTCCCACCCCGCGCCCCCGCCCCAGGACCTACCTTCCGGGAACTCCCCCAGCCAAACTCTTCAAGCTGCTGCCTAAAGCCTGGGTTGGGGTTGGCGATGGGCCTGGTGGCCTTGATGGCTTCCAGCACTTCTCGCCAGCCCAGCCCCGTCACAGTCATCACATATGCGGTCACAATGGTGGTGCTGCGAGAGATACCTGCAAAACTGGGGTCCCCAACGACCCCCAGGCTTCAGGGAGGGTCCACAGCCCCAGGCATGTACCCCACTTCAGCACCTCCACCCTCCACCCCCACCCCCAGCAGCAAAGAACCTTCCAGGACCTGTCTGTCTGCCCACCACCAGGCTCTTGCTCATGCTGTTCCCTCTGTCTGGAGTATCCCCCGCCACTCTACACCAAAGGCTTGGCTGAAACATCGCTCATTCGTTCCACAAACACTTCCTGATCATCTGTTCTGTTCCAGGTACTGGGCTTTAGTGGGGGAGTAAAACAGGCAGAGTGTCCCCGAGTTGATAGTATGGGGGGAGGAACAGACATGAAGCAGAGAGGCCGTTTCCGGAAGTGACGATGGCTTTGAAGCTGAGGCGGAGGGCCAGGAAGTCTGTATGGAGAGAGGTCTTAATCTGGTGGGGGGGGGGGGGAGGGGACACTGGAGGAAGTGACATGAAGCTGAGTCAAGAATGTTCGGGGTAGTGTGGGCAAAGGTTTGTGTAGCTGCAGTGGGGGAAGGAGGGAGACAGGTGGGAGGCAAGGCTTTGTTTTGACAGGAAGGGGGGAGAGAGCGAGCTAGTGAGAATGCTATCTTCCATCTGCTGGTTCACTCCCCAGAAGGGCTGGGCCACGCCAAAGGTAGGAGCTTCATTGGGGTCTCCCACATGGGTGGCAGGGCCCCAGGTGCTTGAGAGAGCCGGTCTCCCAGTGGGAGCTGTGCAGCCAGGCTGGGCTGGGCTGGGCAGAGCACCGGTGTTCGGTGAGGATGATCTCAGCTATGCCGGTGGCACCCCAACACAGAGAGCCTGTCTCCCAGCCTGGGTTCCCACTGCCCTGCACCCTTGCCTCAAAGGCCTGACCCCTGTGCCTCCCGACAGTGCTCAGCTCAGCATTCGCTCCCCCACTTTACAGATGAGTAGACTGAGTCTCAGGGGGGCTCAGCTAGGGGGCTAGGAGAGCCATACGGCTGCTTTGAGCCTCTGCTTGTCACCTCCCAGATGAATGGTGGGCTGCTGGCTCGGCAAGATCACTTCCAGGGCCCCATCATCCCCATGGGACAGAGGGGTGCTCAGGGTGGGACAGCCACTCCCCTCTTAACTCACCAGTGCACAAGGCAGTTCCCCCCATTGAGGCGGCAACAGTGGATAAAGTTGATACATTCTTTGAAGTGCTTTTTGCTAGAGAAGGAAGGGACAGGGTAGGGAGCACTGAGGGCCATGTCTCCAAGGAGTTGTCCCCTCTCCACTCATGGGATAGCAAGGGACAGAGAGCCTGGGGTCCTCAAGTCCGCTGGCATGAGGGGGTCTCACACAGTTCATGTAAAATCCACATTATCTTTCAACTTTCCATGAACTTTGTGAAGCCCCCAGTGGGAGGTGGAGGGGCATGTGGGCGACAATGGTGGTGTTTCGGGAGGTGAAAGAGGCAGGGGTCCTGTGGATCCCGTTTTCATGCTGGGTTATTGTGGCTTTCAAGGAAATGGGTGGGAGGAGGGAGACACAGGGGTCCCACTCCTCTGGGGTCTGCAGTCAGAACTTGTGACAAACCAGTGATGGCCAGCAGCGGGCTGAGGGCGATTCCCCAGGGGCGGGGTTCTGTCTGGGTCCATCCCACGCTGGCAGGCACTGGTGCTAACGACACAAAGATCCTGCATGTGTAGCCTCCGTTGTCACACACCAGGTCCTGTCCTACAGCTCAACCTTGCGGCGTCTGATCTGAGCCTCCTTGAGTCTCATCATACCTTGTTTTACAGATGAGGCTCAGAGAGGGGAAGAGATTTGCCCAAGGTCACACAGTAAGAAAATGGCAAAGCCTGGCAGGGTCACAGCTGTCTCAAGTCTGAGGTCAGGGACAGGTGGATCAGGTGCATCTGATCCCATGAGACAGGGCACCTTCTCCCTCTCAAAGCTGAGGAGCCTGAGGCTTGGGGAGATTTTCTTGGCCAGGGGTGACTATGGGTGATCCCCGGTGACAACTCCTCCCTTCCCCTCAACACAGGAGGCAGCTGTCACCTGTCCGTCTGCTGGCCCATCCAGGGGAACTTACATGGGTACCTCAGGGGTGTCGGCCACTGGGATGCGAAGGTAGGTGATATCCTGCAAGGACAAAGCATGTCAGTTTTGCGCCTGGTCCCGCCTCCCCGCCTCCCCACCCTGAGCTTCCCAGCCCCGCGCACCCCAGCCCTGTTTCTGCCCTGTTGCTGCCTGTCTGGGCCACTGTTGCCCCCTCTGACTTTGTGACCCCCGAACCTTCTGAGCAGATGGTGAACTAAACCCATAAATCACTTCGATATGAGGACTTCATTTAAAAAAGCCCCACAGAGCCTTTGTCTTGGGCTGGGAAGGGCCTTGCTGAAGTGACTCCCTCCCAAGCGGAGATATGAAAATGACGTGGGAAAAAGGACAAAGCAGATACGACGGTCTCTAGGAGAAACAAAAGTTAGGAAAACAAGTTTGAATTTCGTGAATTCTGGTTACAAATCTGCGCTAATTATTAGAATAACCAAGGAACAAGCTGTCGGTAATTTTCCCAACAAACTTGCTATGTTACCCTTTGCTTGGGGCTTAACCTCCGCACAGTATCTGAAGATTAGTTCTGCCCAGCTTCCGGGGACCTCATTGCTTTTCTCAAGGTCCTCCCGTGCCACTTTGACATTCAGTTGGCTCTTTTCAGGTGCCTGGTCTGTCACTGGCCACTGGCTGAGGGACCACAGGCCAGAGCCACAGCTGACCGTGGCTTTGTGTGAAATTCCAGGCCTTCTCGGAACTCAAATTCCCCCAAGGTCATGAAATCCTGTATCTTTTGCAAGGTTTGCAGTTTCACTTTGCAACACATTTGGCCTTGGGTTGGCACAGGATTGTCAACCCCGACTGTTCAATTCGCTGATGGGGGGAGGGAGGGGTGCTGGTGAGCAGAGGGCAGGGCCGTGGGAGCCAGGGCCTCAGTAGCAGCAGCCGCTCCATGCCACCCGGCCTTGACCACCTTCCCACGCGTGCTGTTGGGACTGTGTCCTCCAAGAACTCCAAACCCAGGCTCGGCTGGCCCGGACTTGTGTTCTTGGAAGGACACTGAAGATCACAGACAATTGCGGATTGCCCTTCGGGACCATCAAATTGGCCTCAGGGGAACGCTGAGGCCGAGAGAGGAGGTGGCCCCTGCCCAAGGTCACTCAGCAGTCTGAGGCAGAACCTGGTCTCAGCCTGAGGTCTCCAGAGGCTGTCCCCACCACAGTTCTCCTTCAGCGGACGGACGGACAGACGGACGGACAGACGGGTTGCGTTTATGGAGTGGGACGGTTACTACTTTGTTGTCATTTCACTGTAATTTGTTGTGCATTTATTATGCAGCTCTCAGCAACTCAGGGAAGTGGGTATTATTATAAAACTCCCATTGTACAGATCCCGCAGCTGAGGTTCAAGGAGATGAAGCCCTGCACTCAAGGTCCCAGGGAGAATAAACGGTGAAGACGCGCATCTGGCCTCCTGACTACCAGGTGTAGTCTGGACTTCCTGCCTGCCTCCTCTGGACCCCAACACCCCCACCTGCCTTTTCCAAGACTCGATAAATCCCAGTATCAACCCCCCCACAGGGAGGCCCAGGCTGAACTGTGTGCAGAATATCTTCACCACCCCAAGCCCCTCTGCATCCTCACAGCAGCCTCTGGGCTCGAAGGCCCAGAGATGAGAAGTCACAGACCAAGGTGGCACAGTAGGACACAGAACCCAGAATCATCCATCTGGGATCGTCCGTCCATGTGGGCAACAGGAAGCCTATGTGGTGGCCTTTGAACCGTCCAGTGCGAGACCTCTGTGTTCAAATCCCAGCTCCTCAGCTTCTCAGTGGCGTAACCTCAGTGTGTTCATTTACCTCCCTGGGCCTCAGTGGCCAGCTGGGGATGGCAGTGTCAAACAGTCCCGTGTCAGGACCACAGACATGAGCACGGGTCAGAAGGTGGCACAGGCCCTAGCATATTGCCCGCTCGGGAGGGGAGAACTTGCAGCCCGCCCTGCCCACCTGGGCACAGCCCTGGGAGGCGTAGCGAGTACCTGCAGCAGAGGCTGGGGTGACTCATGTATAGAGATGATATGTGTGATCTTATTCCGGCCCAGCTGATCCGGGTCTTTGGCATCTGAAAGAAACAGGGGGCTTGAGCAGGCTGGCAGGTGTGACTTATTTGTCCCTGATGTGCAGGGGGAGCTGGCTGCCCGGCTCTCCGTCCCACATCTCCCAGTCCACATTGGCCCACCCCTACCACTGCCTGCTCCAGGAGCCACAGGTGCCCCATGCCCCTCGGCATCTGCCTTGCTTCTGGGGCACCCACAGCTAAGTGTCCAGCATCCTCAGGTCTGGCTTAGGAGCCCCAGCATATCCTTGAACCTAGCAATTCTCCTTCAAGGAAAAGAGGTTGCTCACTCAGAGAGCGGTGTGTGGAGTCAGTGTTTTCTGCAGATGCACTTGTTCCAGAAATAGGCAATGAGGGAGAATGGCCTCCGGTCTGGCAGAAAGGGGCTGGAGAGGTCACAGTGGGTCTGCACCTCAGCTGCCCACCACAAGGTCTGTGAGCTCGCAGCCAAGGATGGCCACTCAGCTTCCAGAACGGTATACAGAAGAGGTTTTACACATGATAAATGCATCGACAGAGCTCCACGCAAGTTATTGGCAGGTATGCCCCACAGTGCTCTCCGTGGTCACCCCAGGGGCTGCAGGGCGCAGTCGCTGACACGCGCCCCCTCTCCTGTGTCCTCCTCCTCCTCCTTCAGCACCCTCAGTGGGTCCCAGCTGCAGCGGGCCCGGGGGCAGGCGCATGGCTTTCCTGGGGCTACACAGGAAAAGCAGACCAGGTCTTGCTTCGCCAGGTACAGAAATCAATGGGGCCTGAGGCGGGAAGGGACGAGGGGCGAGCCTCTCCCTGTCCGAAGCTGACACCACAGAGGTGACTCCCCAGCTCAGCGCTCCCATGCTCTGAATCAGCCTGGCTCTCACACATTTTCTACTCCGTGGCCACAAGTCTGTGCCCAGGCTGCCTGGCCCCATCCCTGACCAGCTGAGAGCCCTGAGGGCAGGGAGGGGGTGGAGGTCCCCTAGCTGAAGGCTGTGGAAGGGGAAGAGGTGGAGGGTGTAGGCTTGGCACCAGGTTCTGCAGCCGCTTGTCTCGGGGGCTGTGGCAGGTGGGGGCAGTGGTACTCGGGACCCTGTCCCAGGCCTCGGAGGACAAGGCTGTGGGGGCGGAGTGCTCAGCTTCCCAGCCAGAAGTGACACCCCAAAGAGACCCAGTCTAGAACCTGCAGGTGGAAGAGACTGGTAGGTCTTGTGGGCAAGGAGGAGGCAGAGGCTCCGAGCAGGTGCAGGCTCGCCCAGGTCCAAAGCTCGGCTCCTGAGCACTTTGTGCTGCCCCTCCGACCTCGTGGTGGGACATCTGGGGAAGGTTGAAGGGGGTGGGGGTGGGGGGCGTCAGCGCCAGGCCCCTGACCCTCCCTTCCTGCGCCCAGACTTGGAGTCGCCTCCAGCCACCCCTGCAGCCCCCGGTCCTCCATGAGCCCTTCAACCCTCCCAGCCTGGCTGGGGCATTCCTGAGTGTGTCTAAGGTGCGTGGGCCAGGCCTGAATGGTGGCCACAGGCCTGGGGCAGGCAGAGTGCCATAGCCTTGGCAGAGTGGGCAGTGCTCACCAATGAAGTTTCCGAGGTAGAGTCCAGGAAGTACCTGCAGGAAGGACAGGCAGGGGTCAGTGGCTGGGGCTGCACTCCGTTCCCACTCCCTGGCGGCCCGTGGGTCCTAAGAAAGGCCCTCGGGCTCTCCCCTCCCTTCCTCCCTCCCTCTGTGAGAGGAGCTGGGGAGGCTGGGAGAGGGGCAGGTTGAGGACAGATGGACCTCGGGAGGGGAGGGAGGAGGAGGAGACAGGAGTGGGGCGAAGAAAGGTGAGCTTGGGGGATTCTGCCTGCAGGAGGCGAGAGGGCACAGGGCGGCGGCGGGGCGGGGGTGGGGGGTGGGGGGTGGGAGTGTGGGGGATCCTTCGGGGCAGGGTGGGGCAGGGAGGGCAAACAGTGCTGGTCAGGGCCATGGGGGAGCCGGACACAAGGCAGAGGTGGGTCGGAGAGTGGCAGACACAGCAGGGGACAGTCACAGACACACACAGGCAGAGAGGCGAGCAGCTCAGAGGTACCCACAGCGGGTCTCCGGAGCCACACAGCTCTAGTGGGACTCAGGGCTCAGAGGCAGGCACCGACCCAGCCCGGGGCCCCGCCACCCCTACCTTGGTCATGCCATTTCCCATGGTCCCGGGCCCGGGGGGCCAGGCGCACCCCCAGCTCGCAGCCCGGAAAGCGCTCGAGTCACAGCTGCCCTGATGGCCCAGGCCCGGCGCCTGGAGCCTAGCGGGGAACCGGGGGCCCGGCGTCTGCGGCCCTGCCCAGCCCTGTCCAGCCGCCGCCGCTGCCGCCGCCGCCACCGCCCGCCGACCCCCGGCCCGGGAGGGAAGTGATGGTGGAGCTGCCGCCGCCGCTGCCGCCACCGCCGCCGCAGGCTCCTCCTACCCCCTCGGTCATGTGGGGCCCCCCCCGTGGGTCGTGTCGGGGGGCCGGACAAAGCCCCAGTGTGCCGAGCCCACGGGCCCGCGGGACAACGGCAGCTTGTTGGGTCCGCGAGGGGCGCCACCTCCGGAGAGGGGGCGGGGACAACGCCCCCACCCTGGCCGTGTCAGGCGCGGGCGGCTAGGGGATGCCGCGAAGAGCCCCCCTAGCCGGCCCGAGACGCCCTCTCCTCCCGGTTCCGGCCCTGCCTGGACCTTCCTGCCGCCAGGGGCGGAACACCAGCGTCCGTGCCCTTGGTTTTCTAGAGAAACGTGATGGGGCCGGGCCCTGGCTGAGGGCTCTCTGCTCTTCAGACTCTGTTGGCGAGGAGGAAAGTGGGTAATTCCTTTCCCTCCCGCGCTGCTATCCTCAGCTCTTCCATTCATCCCCACTGCTACCCTCCTACTCACGGGTCACCCCCTTCACCCCACTCACCCAGCCGCCTTCCCGTCCACCCACCCCTCCATCCATCCATCAGCCCCATCCATCCATCAGCCCCCATCCATCCATCACCCCCCATCCATCCGTCCATCTACCTACCCATCAACCTTTCCTTCCTTACCTTGCATTGTCTTGCCTTTCCCTCCTCTGTCCCCCCTCACCCCTCCATCCCCTCCTTCCTTCCTTCCTTCCATTATGGCCTCTATAATGATGGTGCCATCTTAGAGTTAGGGTAACTTGTGACAGCCGTTAGGGCCTAGAAATCAGAGGTGAATGTGGGAGAAGTAGGCGTGGAGGGCTCCAGGCCCCTGGGTCCCTTGGAGTAAAGCAGATCACAGCAAGGCGTGGTTAGAGACCAGCGTTCCGAAGGTGAGTTTGGAGGCCCTGTTCACCTCTCACATGCTGGGTGACCCTGGGCGCGGTTCCTTGGGGCCCTCACTAACCTAGTCCGTGTGTCTCAGGATGTTGAAGGGAGCACTTCCTGGCTACAGCACCAAAGCGTGTAAAATAGTTTCTGAGACTATAAGGTATCATTTATAGGAATGTAAATGGATTGAGACCAGACACTTAGGGGAGTGAAGCAGAAGTGGGGGAACCAGCTTTCCTCCCACGACCATCCCCCCAGCCCTCCATCTCCGGTAGCAGGTGTCTGGGGCGGGAGCTATCAGGACCTGGACAGAGCCGGTGCTCTCCGTCTGACATGCGGTGAGGGAGAAAGAGGAGACTCTATCTGCGTGCTCCCTGCTCCCTCAAGTTCACAGCCTACGTGGGGCTGCCCCTCTCAACTCTGGGCCAGGATTCTCAGAAAAAAAAAAAAAAACCAGATGAGTCAGTGACTACTGAGTGAGCACTCCCTGGTGGGGACTCGGGACACAGCGGCAGGTAAGGTGGAGATGGTTCCTGCCTTGACGCACCTGCTCTCCAGACCAGCCCTGCCCACCAGACACAGAATGCTGGCCACCTGTGTGAGTCCACGTTTCCTGGTAGCCATTTCAAAAGCAGAAATGAATTCATTGTTAGCATTTTTGTTTCACGGAATGTGTCTAAAATAACATTTCATTGTGTAGTCAATATTTCACAGTTGCTAATAAGATTTTAGAAACTGTGTGACGTCCTCAAAGTCTGGTGTGTGTTGAAACAGAGCACATGTCAGTCCAGACAAGCCACATTTCAAATGCCTGATAGGCATATGGAGCTGCTAGCTGTACGCTGGGCATCTCAGGTCCAGAGGGGGGGAGCCAGCAAGATGTGTGAAGAGACAGCGTTTGCAGATGGTCCTGGCTTTCCGTGCAGGAAACAAGTGCGGGAGGGGGCAGAGAGAACCTTCCTGAAGGGCTACCATCTGAGCTGAGAGCTGACCTGTAAGAAGGACCTGACTATTTGAAGAACAGAGGAAGCTTTTTCCAGCGGCAGGAAGAGCATGAGCAAAGGCCCTGTGGTGGGGAAAGCTTGGCCTATGTGAACAGCCACCCACACTGGCTTGGAGGGAGCCTAGGGCAGGTGAGAAGAAAGAGGGCTTAAGAGAACAGTAGGGACCAAGCATGTAGGACCACGCATGGCCAGGATCAGGGTCCAAGCTTTTCTTCTTCTCCACATGAGGGGAAGCCACGGGGACAATGTAAGCCAGGAAACTGCATCGTTTGGTTTGCATTTTACTCTCGGCTTTGGGAAGCCGGGGGGAGGCTGCTGCGGCAGCCCCATTGGAGGGGCCGGTGCCCTGGGACGGAGCGGACCCGAGAAGCTGGACAGAAGGGGGTAGACCCAGCATTTGGGAGTGTCCGGGCACTGCAGCCAAGAGGACAAGCAGACTGTCCACACTCAATGTGGGGGAGGAAGGAATTCTAGGATGACTCCCATGTTCCCTGCCTTGAAAATGTGGCAATGAAAGCAGGGTGTTTAGCCAGGGGTGGAAACTCGCACCAAGGATCTACAGATGGCCCCAGCTGTGGATGGTGTAGAGCGAGGCTGGGAGGGGCAGGCGTCGTGCAGCAGCTGCGACACCACTTGGACGACTGCATCCCGTTTCAGAGTGCCTGGGGTCAGGTCCATCAAGCAGCAAGTGATGGCGCAAGTAGTTGGGTCCCTGCCACCCACAGGTGAGACCTGGATTGAGTGCCAAGCTTCTCGCTTTGGCCTGGCCCAGTTTGGCTATTGTGGGCATTTAAGGAATAAACCAGTGTATAGGAAATCTCTCTGTCTCCATCTCTCTGCCTTTCAAACAAATAAACTAAATTAAAAAAAAAAAAAAAAAGAGAAAGAAATGGCTGAAGCCTTAGCAGCTCTGGGACCCTGGGCAGGGTGAGCAGCTGTCACTGGACCTGTTGCTTCACCTGCCACGGTGCCATTGTATAGTGGTTGCCCTTTGCACCCCTACTTGGTCGGTAGGAGGGAAACCAAACCACACGTATGAGAGCAGTGTGTCAGGTCAAAGCCCTGGGAACAGACCCGCAGTTACTGGACTGACGACTTGAGTATCTCTGTGCCATTCAGCCCTTGCGAGTGCTGGTTGGTGCACAGCCTAGTGTGTCTTCAGTGAATCACGGAGGGGCTGTTTCACAAAACCATTCCTAGGAAGATGCAGAGGCCAGGTCTCGCCCTGGCATCCCCTTGCTGAAAACCCTTCAGTGGTTCACCGTGCTAGGCCAAGTCATGCTTCCTGCTGAAATGTCCAGGCCCTAATTCCCGTAATCTCGGAATGTGGTAGGCTACCTCGGAAGCAGGGATGAAGCTTGCAGATGCCACTGAAGCTGGTGATGGGCTGACCTGGAGAAGGGAGATGATCCTGGATTATTCGGGCGGGCCCATGGAAGCAGGATCCCTACAGGGGACAGTGGAGTCCGGAGGGTGGGGATCAGAGGGATGGGATGACAGAGCAGAGCTCTGCCCACTGCTTATAGTCAGTGACACCCACTTCAGACTTCTGCTTTCGAGAGCAGAACTCTGGCACCCTTCTGAGTTCCAGTTCAAGTCCCAGCCGCTCTGCTTCCAATTCAGCTCCCTGCTAATGGTCCTAGGAAGGCAGCAAATGATGGCCCAAGTATTTGGGCCCCTGCTACCCACATGGGATACTGGGTGGAGTTCTAGGCTCCTGGCTTTGGCCTGTTTTTGTGAAAGACAGAGAGAGGGAGAGGGGGAGAGGGGGAGAGGGGGAGAGAGAGAGAGAAAGGGAGAGAGAGGGAGAGAGAGAGGGAGAGAAAGGGAGAGAGGTCTTCCATCTCATCTATTACTCTCCAAATGCCTGCAAGATCTCAGGCTAAGCCAGGCTGAAGCCAGGAGCCTGGAACTCCATCTGGGTCTCCCACATGGGTGATAGGGGCCCAAGTCCATGTGCCGTCTTCCACTGCTTTCTCAGGTGCATTAGCAGGGGGCTGTAAAGGAAGTGGAGCAGTGGGGACTCTGATGTGGGATTCTGGAGTCACAAGTGATGGATTATCCTGGCCCCTAGGTTGTTTCTTGTATTTTCTGCTGTTCTAAACAATGTTGCAAAGAACGTCCTTATGGGAGTAGGGCTGGTGGGAGAATCGCTGGCTTGGAGGATGTGTAATTTTCAACTTCAGGAGGTATTGCCAAATTGCCTTCTAATTGCGAATGTGGCAGCAGCAAATGAGGGGGCCTGTCTCCCCATGCCCCCACGGACTCAGCGGCTCACAGAAACACTCATGTGGTTTTCTTTCTGTATTGCTGATACATTGCAAACCATATCTTATACATGTCTAATTTACCTCTCTCAATTGGCTTGCTGACCACTTGACTTTCTTCTGCCAAGAAAATCCCTATGAATTTCCTTTGTCCATTTGCCTTTCTTTTTTCAGGGGTTGAGGGAGGGTGTCATTTTCTCCCTGGTTTGTAACAGCTCCTCCAGCACCAGTCCTTTTTATGTGGCAGATGGATGGCCCCTCCCCCCACCTGACCCCATCTGTAGCTTGTCTTTTAGTCAAAGTTACTGTCTTTTGTTACATGGTGAGGTAGTTACAGAGCTATTGTTTCCTTTTGTATAAAAGATTTATCTGAAAGGCAGAGTTACAGAGAGGGCAGGAGGGTGGGGCTGATCCTGTCTGCTGGTTCACTTCTCAAAGGGCTGCAATGGTTGGGACTGGGCTAGGCGGAAGTCAGGAGCTCCATCGTGGTCTCCAACAGGTGTAGCAGGGGTCCAAGTTCTTGGGCCACCCTCTGCTTCCTTTCTAGGTGCATTAGTGGGGAGCTGGATCAGAAATGGGGCAACTGGGACCCAGAGTGGCACTCTGATATGGGATGCTGGTGTCCAGGTGGCAGTTTAATTCCCTGTGCCACAACTCTGGCCCCTAGTTTTTTCCTTTATTAATAAGGATTTATTATTGCTTATCTAAGAAATTCCTTTCTCACCCTGAGATCACAAAAATTGACATAGATGTGTCTAAAATATTTGTTATATTTATTTTTTAATCCACTTGCATTAGGCTTCTGGTTTTCAACTCCAAGGAAGCATCAAGTGCACACACACACACATACACACACGTCCATTTCTAGGATCCCCGTTACTTTCCAGTGATCCAGCTAGGACCTGATAGGCTGACAGGGGTCTCCCTGCCCCCCCACTCATTCCTGCTTTGACAGCAGCCCTGCTGTGGTTCAGCAGAGTTGGACCCCCAACCCTGGTAGGTTGGTACTGAGGAGGGTGGAGGCCCAGCCCACTTAATGGTGATTGGCAGTTCTGGGTCACTGGGCGGGGGTGCTGCTGGACTTTCCTTCTCCGAGACGCTGGGTTCTCTAAGCTGAGTTGGCGCTTTATCTGCTTCCTGGCTCGGCGTGTGATCCGCCTTCTGCATTCTGCCACCCACCACCGTCAGTAGATTCCAGAAGAATGGGGCTGACCAATCTGGGACTTGGAGCTTCTAAAGTGATCCTTTTTCCTCCATCCATAAGCCGCCTCTCTCAGGTACTTCAGGTAACGTAATAAAAAGCTGACAAACACAACGCCTCAAAAAACCCTGATTGGATTTGGAAACATGCATTTCTGATATTGAGTCTTTCACCTAGGAGCATGGTATTTCTTCCATTTAGTCAGGCCTTATTTGAGAGACAGAGTTACAGAGAGAGAGAGAGAGAGAGAGAGAGAGAGAGAGAGGTCTTCCATCCACTGGTTCACTCCCCAAATGCCCACAACAGCTGGAGCTGAGCTGATCCCCAGCCAGGAGCTAGGAGTGTCCTCCAGGTCTCCCACGTGGGTGCAGGGGCTCAAGCACCTGGCCATCTTCTATTTCCTTCCTGGGCTATAAGCAGGGAGCTGGATTGGAAGTGGAACAGCCGGGACTCCAACTGGTACCCAAATGGGATGCCAGCACCACAGGCAGAGGCTTAACCTTCTGTGCCACATTGCCAGCCCCTCAATA